ATAATGCAAGTAATGCAGTTACAGGGATAAATGTGTAAGTGTAAGGAGCAAGTGACAAGGAAACAGTCAAAAGAAAATGGTGTTTTGGGGAAGTAGGGGGTGGAAATCTCTTTATCATTCTGTAACAACCTTTCTGGCTGTTGCCAATTCAAGGCCAGTTATGAGTCATAGGGACTCCACACTGTAGGCATTACAAAAAAAAGAAGAAGAAAAAGAAAATAAATGAATCTTCTTCCCCCCACAGCTCTTTTGCTTGCAAATTTGCCTTTCCCTTTTCCATTCTTGCAAATCCTCTGAGATGAGGGAGAAAGCTCTGCAGGAAAACATGCCATTCTTTTGGCATAGCATAGAAGATTTTTGTGAGATGACTTGCTCTGGTCTAATTGTGTGGTGGAGAAGGCTTGGGAGTGTGATTCTGCATGGCAGCCCTGTGTACTGTAGTTAGATTTGTATCAGTGAGATACGACAGGTCTGCCCTTGAGATTCTGCAGTGGCACAGTGCCAGCTGTTCACCACGCTGATCTGTGTCTCTCCAGAGCAAAATCAAAACCTGCTGCCATGGTTCAGCTCTGGGTCAGACCCACAGCCAGATTACTGAAGGTTGGTGTTTTTGTTTGTTTCTTCTTAATTAAAAAATTGCTGAAATTTTGTAAGGGAAGCTGCTTTCCTGACAGTTCAGCTTAAAGCAGCACTGTATCTGCTACTTATACATCAAAGGCTGAAGGATTTTGGTACTAGTGACCTTGTGACCATAAAATATAACGACAGTTAAGCTAGAATCACAATCTGATAAGCAAAACCATCCAAAGACTTCAGTTTTGCTTTTGCAAGGAAAGATTCTGCCATGTATTACACTGGGATTTCACTCATCTTTGTTGATGGCATTTCACTTAATTGCTGCCATTTGAGAGCCCTATAGGCAAGGCAGAGAAAGAAGAATAAAAGTAGGGATAAAAATGGGAGAGGGAATTGCTAGTACAGAAAAAATTCCCATCATGTTTGTGCTTGTGAAGTCTCCATACATTTTAAAAAGCTTCGTAGAAATAGCTATGAAACGAAAAAATGCAGATGGTCCCAAAGGGACTATAGTCAGGATGTGTCCTTAAACAAGGGGATCCCTACTGTAATTCAGAAAATGTTTGAGATCTCCACTAAGGTCTGGCAAAGCAGTGGCTGCCCCTCCCTCTCTGTGGCTTCACTGGGATTTGTAGGACTGGAGCTTTGGCCACTGGTTTTAAATTGTGCTCTGGATGAGGTTTTTCTTGGCATGGGGTTCAGAGGTACCACCTAGTACTACCCAGTGTGTCCTACTCAGTGATTACTGATGAGTCCAGTGCTGCAGAGGAAAGGGTGCTAACATTACAGTACAATGTTATGTCTCCTGGCCCTTTCTCCAATTCAGGCACATCTCTGTCTTCAATGAAACTGAAATATTATGTTAAGTTTATTTTTCAGTACTTTTTAGTAAAAAAAAATTATTTTCCTTGCCCTCTTCTGACACATTTGGAAAATTTTTTATTCTCTCATATTAAAAATGGATATAAGGTCAGATGGATGATTAATCTGAGCCAGTACAGCCATTCTTAAATTATCAGCGTGTTTCCAATACCATAAAAACACACAGGGTTTTTTAAAAATCACATTAAAATATTACTCTGGGAAACAATAAACGGCAAAGCATTCCACTGTGTAACAAAGCCACATATGAAATAGCTCTTCTTCTGCCAGCTTTGGGGTTCCCATCCCTAAAACTGACAGAAGGTTTCAATATTTTTGTGCTAAAGGACACGGAACAATAGAAAATTCTCACCTAATTTTTCTGAAGCAGTTGCTCTTTTACATAATTCTATCCTCAAGAAATTGAAGGCAGTGAAGAGGAGAACAAGACACACAGAACTGAACAATTTTGTTTTGCTGTATGACAGGGACTGAAAGGAGACAAACCTCAGAAAGTGGAGATAATGAGTAAGAAACCCATTGGCTTTTATTACTGTAATTTTAAAGGACCAGACTTTCACTAGTACTCAGATTTTTTCCCTAAAATAAGGCACCTTCAAAAGGCTTTTAAAAATCAAGTCAGAGCTTGGAGCACCTTTTTATTCTGTGACTGGCCAGTGAAGGAGCACAGAAATGTTTGTTGTGTGCATTAAAGAAGGTATGCAAGAGAGCCTGCTCCCAAGGGAGTTTCCTACCTCCATATCTCTAAATAATCCATACCCTCCTAGAAAGATAATGTTGGAGGGTTTTTATGCCATCTTAATATTTTCCTATTACTTGTTCCATTATTTATTGTGGAATGACTTTCCAACTTGCAATGCCCTGAGCAAGCGTGGTTCTCGCCTTGAGCTACCAGAGGGGGAATCTGGCTGCAAACTGCCTCCCCATCTGTCGTGGAGTGAGTGAGAAAGATCCGAACTGGCAGGGATTTTTTTCCCCCTTTCCCTTTGTCTCTGCTGCCAGAAGGGGAAACAGGAACTGGCCCATGAGTTATTGAGTTAATATAGGGCCACAGAGTTGGAGACCCCGGATCGCAGAGCCTTAAGATTGAACACCCCTTTGATTCCCCCTGGATATATTGTGGTGGGAATTTCTTTCCCTTGGATTCCCTTGGATTCCCCTTGTATTGTGGTGGGAATTTCTTTCCCTTGGTGCAGGACTTTAAGCTGCCTCATCACACCACTCTCAACTTTTGCAAAGACCCTCTCCCTCTGCAGCGAGGCAGCTCTGAAGTACCTGGTGAACTTTCAGCCTCCCAGAAGAGGTTTCTCTTAGTAAAAGTGGTTAGATAAGTTTGCTGCCAATGCTCAGTGGGGGAGTATTTAACCCCCTATAAATGATCTGGTTTCTGGGCTCTCTTGCCTACAGCTCCTTGTTATATATTATTATTTCTCAGTGTAGCCCAAGCTTCTGTGCTTTCCCCTCATCGACTGGCTTATTCCCTCTTCTCTCTCTCATCACCTTTCCAAATATCAGCTAATTCTGAGTAACAGCAAATGCAATCTATCTTCAAGTCTTCTTTTCTCCCAAATCCCTCCTATATTCAGTGCAGAACACCCGGGGATGCTTTTATGATGACAGTCATCACCATCACCTTTCATCCAAGGAGGAAAATGGCTGCCTGTACCTTCCATGCCTGACCCTGAGGAAACAGGGGACGATCCTGAGCCCTGAAATTTGGCCCAAGACTCTGCTCCAAAAGACTCCATTTTGATGTCATATTTGTGGCTAGAGAGGATACTGGTTGAAAAAAATCCCATGCTTATCCCTCTACCCCTGCAAACCTGAAAGCATTTAGACCCTGATACAAACTTTGTGACATGTTACCCCTCTCTTTTGAGGGCAGCCTGGTCTTACTTAGAAGAGATGAATATCAGGCTGTGGTTTTCCTGAGGGAGCTGCAATGCTTGGCAGGGCAGACTGTTTACAACAAGTATTGCTTGTGACATTAGGCAAATTATCAGGAGAAACTGGCCCATCCCCTCTTTGCCCAGCTGCGTACTCAAGTGGGGCTCTGAGATTGATGTGTCATTAACAAACTGTGACCCAGATTGTGATTCAGCCAGGAGCTTCCAACTTGCATGTGAAATTTGCACTTTTTATACAGTTTTTTAAAAAGTTTTCCCTCCTCATTCAGACCAGAGTACTTTTGCTTGTTGGACAGCCGCTGTTTATCCATCATAATAAAGAGGTCTTGCTCATTCAGAGGTTTAAAGACTGTTGGCTTTGAGACCAACAGTTCATTCATTTTATCACTTATGAGCTTATAAATAAATATTCTAGCTGGTTAGCAAAAAACTGAGGTTCAACTAAGCTCAACTCTTTTATGGTGTGCAGGACTGTGCAGACCTCTGTAGCTGCTGAGCTGCTGGGGGTTGCATACACATCTGTAGTTCACTGATGCTGTTTTTCATTCAACACTAAATTTAGCAATGTCCAGGAATTCTCTTTCTCTGAAGTTCTTCTCATGCTCCTGCCACTCCCCCACGAGCCAGAGCTGGAGCAGCAGCCAGTGGCTTGTGTGTTAGCTCAGGGCCCTTCCCCATATGAAATTTGGCATTTCATTGAGATACAAAATTACTTACTTCCCATAACCTATGTTTCATTTAGCACACAGCTATTTTTGGGGTATTTTGAATTACTGCATCACTAATACATCTTTCGGAAAATAGCATGAGGTTCACCCTGATAATTCTTCACTTCCAACCCCAGACTTGAGCATTATGAGTTTCCTGGGAAGAAAGGTGTGTAGGCAAGACCAAAGGCAGCTGTATACTGTGAAATAATAAGTATCAGACAAAAAACAGTATCACAGCTAATAGATGTATTTTAAAAGTGGAAACATCTATCTTTAATTGCATTTTAAGTACGTAGTGAGAAACCACAGTTATACATTTTTATAACAAAACTTTACATTTGAAGTAATAATAATACAAATAAAAAGTGCTGATTATATATGGTCAAAAAAACTGAGGCAAATTTTTGACAACATCTTCTAAATATGATCATGAGTGTTCCCTGTCAGCAACACTCCAAAGTCAGGCTGAATAATGTCAATGACCACCACTGTTTTTCCTTAGTTTACCAAAAACCAACAACCCAAAAAACGATTTTTTTTTGTTTGCCTTTTTTTTTTTTTTTTGCATAGCTTTCAATATTGCTGCCCTCTCACCTCTGCATATTGCCAGCCCATCTCAGTTCTGGATAATTACTTTAAAGTTCTTAGTATTTTTAATCCAGTTCTCCTTGAATACATAATATATATTTTCTACCAATTATAAATACATAATTTTTATTAATCTGATTTCAATAACATGCATTTGTATAATTACTATACAATCAAAATAGACATTGACTTTACACAGTGTGTACGCTTTTATTTCAGTAATATTGTTCAGACACACTGCTCAACAAATCAAACAAATAGGGAAATGAAAAGTTAAAAAGGAGGGAGAAAACCTCTGGGAGGAAACATATTCTCACAGTGATTACAGACAAAAAAATACTTATAATAAAAAGGGTTTATTAATACATAGAAAATCCTCACAATAGTTGAAACACGCTTTAGGAACTAGTAAACATTTTAAATAGAATTGTGCCAATTACGCAGTGCCCAAGCATCTGCTTGCTCTTAATTAGATGGGGAGGTGAATGACCACTGTTTATTTTCATTTTCCTCATTAATTATGAAAAACTGCATTCAATTCATCTTGCATGGTGAGAGACTGGCTGCGCAGATGTAAGTCGTAAGGGAAGTGGCTCTCTGTAGGCAACCTGAACATCGAGCTCTGCCCAAGGGGACCCCTGGGTGGCACTGCACAGTAATGCATGCCGTAATTGTAATTTTTGCCATAGTCCAAGCTTTCCTCTTGCTTCAGGGAAAATATCCCATTATAGTTAATTGGGGGAGGACTTAAGGGACCTTCAAACTGTGGGCTGGCGCACTCGGGGGAAGTGCTTTCATAGAAGGACTCGTACGCGCTGCAGTAATTGTACGGTTTCATGGACTTGGAGTTGTCCAGAGTCCCATGCCCTGGGGGGGTGCCAAGCTCCGGGCTGTGGTAGGGAGGATAGAAGGTGGAGTAGGGCGTGCGGGTATGATGGGCACCTTCACCTGCCTGGCCCATTAGGAAACTTCTGGCATTTAGCTGCAGGCATCCTGCCACCAAGTTTGTAGTTGGCTGGGACAGACCCTTGCACAGGTTCTGGACAAAGGTGAGCAGGTCAGGTCTCTTCCCAATTCGCAGTATTTCAGAAAGAGCCCAAATATAGTTCTTGGCAAGTCTTAAAGTTTCTATTTTGGACAGTTTTTGCGTTTTAGAATAACAAGGGACGACTTTCCTTAAATTGTCCAGAGCGTCGTTAAGGCCGTGCATACGGTTCCTTTCTCTAGCATTGGCTTCTTGACGCCTGAATTTAATCCTTTCCATCCTTATCTTGCTCGTCTTTTTTTTCCTAAGGCCCCTTCGCCTTGGCAAGCCATTCTCATCCTCCTCTTCTCTCTCCTCCTCTTCCTCTTCTTTTTCTGTGTCTTCTCCAGGAGATCTTTTAATATTCTTTCCTCGGAGGATGATCTGCTTTGAAAAGCTTTCTGGGTTCTTCATTTGCTTTTGGTCATCACTTTCTCTGGGAAACTTTCTACACATCTGGGATTCTGGCATTACAACAGACTCATCAAATGGTAGTGTTAACATGGTTCTATAATCTTAAGTTACCTGAAAGAATGCCAGCACAATGTTTAAATATTTCCATTTTTAAAGTTTTCCGACTCACACAGACAGCCTCATGCACCTTATTTGTGTCTGTGTGTAAGCTCTCTGTATAAGAGAGAGAGTGTGTGTGTGTGTGTGTGTATAAATGCTCAATCTATATTTTTGAATAAAATGGCAGTTACAAATGCCCACTTTTTAAAAACAATAGCTGTTGAGAATTCTGAAATCACTTGAAACATTTTACTCTGCAACTAAAAAGCCACATTTCTCAGAGATAAATATGCAGCAAATCGATATTTTTAATGTACAATTAGGTCCCTGCTCATTTATTTTATTTTTAAACAAACCCTTCAAACTCTCACCATCATTGAATTTAAAGAAATGTAAAACGTGACAAAGCAATACAGAAATTTCATTAATCCAAATTCCCCTGGGTGGAAAAATGAGGAGAGGGAGCGCAGTTTTAAAATTGAAAAAGTGCCATATCTCTATTACCTGATGGCAAATATTTTAAAATCACTTTTTGACTTATACTTCAAAATTGTGGGTTTTTCCCCTCCACATTTCTTCCTACATGTATCAAGATATTAAACTTTAGTAAGTTACAGTGGCTGAGAAGGAAAAAAAATGGAATATACCCCCCAAATCACTCAGCTAGTAATATAATTCAAAACAAAGCATTTTTCCTAGTTATTTGTATTAAAATAACATAAAACTTATTTCATATTATGACAAAAATCAGAATTATTTAACCCTAAACGTATTCAGATTAGAGTTAGGAAATAAAATCCCCCTACCTTTTTTTCCCCCCCTTTTTCAAGCAAAAATTCTATTTGCTATTATCTGATTAGTTAGAATCAACTTATTTGCTTTTTTTCTTGTTTTTTTCTCCTTTTTTTTTTTCTTTCCCATCAATGGGGGAGTGGGGGGGGGAGGTGAAAAATTCCCTGCACGCTATAGCAGTGTTTATGTTCTGCGAGGCTCAGATGTCTTCCTCCAGCTCTTAGCTGACAGGAGCGGTCTGTAGATTCTGACTGTAATCCTGCACGTGTGCTCAGAATCCAGCCTGGAAAGGAAAAATAATTTCCTTTTCCCAATTACTTTGCTTTTGTTTGCAGTTTGGGAGCAGCAAAAGCTCGTTTCCCATGGACTTCTAAGAGACAAGCAAAGTAAATGCAGGGACTTTTTAACACAACAAAATTAAACAAAAACCCCAGTTAAAGACTAACTCTATCAGTATTGTCTACACAGTTGCAGTATTACATAAAAGCAAAGAAAGTTTGTAATTGCATCAGAAGAATAAAATGTTAGGAGTTATTAGACAGCAAATAGCATACACAAAATACAAGACAATGATACTGTATCTTTAAACACTTGCATGCACACCCAACACCAATTGAAATATATCTTTATTTGTATTACCTTAGCTTTTTATTTCATTCAACAATCAGTTTTCATTTTTTGCCTTCCAAATCTTTTCAGTCTGAATGTCGCATCGCCTGCTGGAGTCTAGATCTGTGTATATCTGCACTATCTCATTGATCTCTAAAAAGTGACATTGATGCCAACTGCCAGAGCTGGTACCCATGCCATCTGCTAGTGACGTCACGGGGCAGAGAAAACCACGTGAGCCTTTCTCCTGGGACCTTCATTCTGCACTGATCATCTGGCATCCCTCTAAGTGGGTACCAGCATTCATGTATCAACACAGAAGGTTAGACCGATAGAAAAAAAAAAAAAAAAAAAAAAAGAAAAGAAAAAAAATTCTGCACCAGCATTTCACATACAGTAGGTGCATTTCCACTGTAGTTGCTTGTTTTTAGCAGTCTAGCTGCATGGATAGACATGCCAGCATTTGGTGCTATCCCTGCCTACAGGTACAGCCGCCCTCTGGTTGTTAATATGGCATTGTTTATATGAGAAATGCTGTCTTGTGTTGATCTGAGTCCCTCCAGTGCACCTGGTACCCAGGGACAAAAAAGAAAAGGCAAGGAAAGGAAGGCAGTAAATGGGGGAAGTAACGCTGGTGCTGTAATGCATAGCACAGTCACAAGAAGTAGTTTTTGTGTGATGCTGCTGGATGTGATTCTTGGGGTGTGGGGGTTTTTTTGAGTGCAGTTTGTTGCCCCAGAGCACAGAATAATAGGAGCAAACCTCGTGCCATCTGTAAGAAATCCTTCCTTTGCATCCTTGGTGGTTTTTGACACGGCAAAATAAAAGAGGCATTTATAGAAAACTGGGCATACAGCACGAAGGTTTAACAAATCATGCCTTTTTTTCTGAAGCACGTGGCAAGGCTCGCTGACCTGCTCTGGCATGTTGCAATGTGACTGGCGTGCACCTGCTCAAAAGTGTAACTTACAATTCTTGAAGGGTTTGGCCCCTGCCATATTTTCTCAGTCTGTCTGGCCTTTTTGTGAACGTTTCCCCAATATCCCTTTAAAAACTGAGTTATTCCCTTTGGAAACCTCCTAAAAATCTCCCCCTGCTCTTCTGTTTTCATACCTAGCTTCTCCGTTCTTCATGCCCTTGTTTCTCCTGTCAGCTGCCTCTCCTGTGCTCCCTGCTCTTCCTCCTTTAACCCTTTTGTCTCTTTCTGCAGGCTAAACACTGTTAAATGAAGCTGACAAAGACTCTTAGCTCAGCCTTGCCATGGAGCTTATGACAAACTCCACCTTCATGTGTTAGGGGTTTGTGGTTTTTTTAATTTAAGGAGTGGCATGTCACATATAGGCGATATCAAGAGAGTTACAGGGGGAACGATGTGTCACCTTAGAAACATTCTTTTTTTAAAATTTGGTTTCATTATTATTGTGTATCACTGCCTTTTTGTAACTAAATAATCTCTATATTAAAATAATGAGTGACTGAGTATGCTTTTAGTATTAAAATAATCCCTGGCAGAGCTGCTATTGTTACAGGTCCGTGTCAGCATTTCCATTATAAATCCTGGTTTTGAAGGGTTTATAATTCATCTGCTTTAATTCACATTGGTCCAAACCTTGGCATTAATGTTCTCAGCCCTCATCCAATTATTTTTTTCTTTCACAAAGTTTAATTTAAATATGTCGGGGCATTTTTTTGGATTAGAGACGGGAACAAAAAATACGGCTGCAGTAGAGAACAACACGTGTGTGGGAAGATCATGTTTTACACATCTATATGTATGTGCTCAATGATTTTACAGCCTTTCATTAAAAAAAAACCCTCACTCCAAACCTTGAGAGTTTTTTTTTTTGTTTTTGTTTTATTTTAAAGAAGTAAGACATTCAGGTCACTCATTCTTGATAAAATGCAGGCTTTTTTTTTTTTTTTTAGTTTTTGTTTATTAAGGAAAATTTATCTGAAGTGACAAAGATGTTAAAACTTAAGGGGAAACTGTTCAAAAAGAGCAAGCGCTGTACTATTCATAGCATTTGGTTCCTTTTTACTGCAAATATTACAATCTGTGTAACAAAGGAGAGGGTAGAATCCCATTATCCTCGATAGGAATTTATGTATTAAGATTTATATTGTTAAAGGTTCTAGGGGTTGTCAACCTTTTCAAGGATTTTGCTTTTTCAAAGTATTAAAAATGCATTATTAAAAAATTGAAAAGTTCTAGAGTAACCAACACTGTTTCAATGCATACTAAAAATACCACGAGATACTAAAGGAAAGGTTGACATTGTTATAGTTCAATGTTTAGGGAAGGACCAACAAAATTTTCAGTTATATCACACAGTGCCCAAAATACATGAAAATATTTTCTCCATCCTTTTTTATTGTTGAAGTAGGTGGTTATTTTTTTTTAAATAACTCAAATGCGTTTTTGAACGGCTTTTATACTGCTACTAAAACAAAAAATGAATTTGTTTGTGTTGAATGATTCCCTCTATAGGAGTAATATTACAGTTTCACACATTCCTAATCCATCATCTGACCTTTTTAATATTTTCAAATAAATTGTGAAGAAACAAAATAGCTGAGATATCAAGGTTTAAAAAGCCTCTACTGTGCATGCATAATAACTTTTCATAAGGATTTTACTACGCATTTTGTATTATGGATCCATGATATGCAAATAGGTACTGCTGTTAATATGCATTCACAGCATACCCGATAACTGCTGTTTTGCTGTCTACTGTGAATGCATGTTAAGAATAATACACAAAATACAGTTAAATGCACTGTATAGAATGGTTGCACAGCACCAAGTATGTTACAGAACACATATCACAATTTTTTTCCTGTACTTGGACTGTCTACTCTTGAATTAAAAGTGAGTTTATTTCAAAAGCAATATTATAATAATACATTAATATTAATACGTGTAAATAATAACACAACCAAACATTTACAGATTTATTTAAATAATAACCAGTCATTAATAGATTTACTGAAATAATACCGAGTTCCAGGGACTGCAGAACCTCCATGGTACATGAGAGGGACTAACCCAAACTGCACTGCATTCAATGAGAGTCCTTCAAGTAAGTTCAATATGCTATTTACTCTTTTTCTTTTTCTCTCTCTCCTCTTTTTTTTTTTTTTTTAATCATCCCCTCCAACCCTCTCCTAACTGGCCCATACCTCCTCGTTTTGCTGAAACAGGAAAACTACATCAAATCAGGAACTCAGGATCATCTTGAAGTGTGGTAGCCCTGGTCGTTCACTGGGAGCAGTGGGGCCTTATGGGCAGCAGGAAACTTCAGAAGGGGAAGATGGCTAAATCTTTTATTTGCTTCCTCATCTTCCTAATGCATTAGACATCACTGCAACACAGACAAAGTGACAATCATGCCATGCCAAAGTCCCCCTTCCACACTCATGACCTGACATGAGTTTGCCCTCCTGCCATGGCACCCACGTGCACAGCCCAAACACCAGAGCAGCTGCTGCCTTGGGAGCCAGACTGGGGGAATGCACATCTAGTGCATCCTAAATTGCAAAGTCAGACCACAGGGGACAAACACATGGCTAAGAGTGTAGAAAACAATGGC